CACACATTGCCAACAACATTTGCACGAAATAATCAAATGCCATGCTTGTGAATGTCGGCAAGTTGCTTGTGACTAGCGCGTGAAAATTGGCCATAAAGCGCTTGCAATTGTTTACGCGCAAATGTTGTCAGTAGTGCAACAACACTAGACGTATCCTCAAATACATAAAAAGCCTATGCAATATATTACTGAACCGCTGAAGATTAAATTGTGGGAATATTTAGGCCTACCAGAAGAAAAATGCACCTTACCCTACTGAATATTCTGCTGATCCAAACACGCAAGATGGCAATCGTTATGACTACATCACCCGAGAGCGCTTGGTATTTCTTATACTACAGTAATTTTCCAACTTTGACTCAATTTTTCACGAAATTATAGCCAACACGAGAACCATCACGACCAACCGAGCGTGCCCAAAGTATGCCAAGATACCCAGCCTATCGACATATCCCGGTAAAAAGTCACAATTTTTCGTTTGGACCCAAATTTGGAATATTTTCGCCAATTCAGCATGAATCGTCTGATTCGTTGCCATCTGACGTTTGCACGATGCGCGAATATGTGCCATCACCTCCGGGAACATCGACCATACCGCATTCGTCCAAGTTTCATGGAGGTGTTGAAGAAACAGATAAAGTTTATGAGCCACAGCAAATGCTTTTCATGATGCCAATGCAAATGAGTGGTACGGTAATCATACTGTATTCACAAAAAGTACTGTAAATATCTGAAATTTTAGCCCCCAACGGCCAGATGATGCCCGTTCTAATGACACCAGGGGTGATGACGTCGTCTGTAGGACCGAATATGGTATGGTCTTAGTGAGCAAGAGACTGTTGTATGTACAAAAAAAGTATTTTAGATGTATTGCATGACCCCAGCTCGTCAAACAGCCTCAGCGACAAGGCAACGGTTAGTTATATCCATTTTACCACAGAGAAATGACGGTAGCGGTTAGTCATACCCATTTTACCACAGAGAAATGACAGTAGCGGTTAGTCATATCCATTTTACCATAGAGAGACGGTAGCTATATAAAGGAGACAGATTTAGAGGAATCTAGGGTCAGATTTATTAGCACGTAAATTATAGTTATCGCAGTTCTCAATATACAATTTATATTTGCTCAATATATCAAAGAAGACCTCAAAATCTTCCTCTCTTGCTCACAACTTAGCTTACTGTATCTAAACTTTCAAAATAAAAAAGTTGGGATCACCGAGCTCATCTCATAGGCACGAGTTATATTTTCATCTTCTGAGCTCATCA